CAAGCAGAATGTGTGAATGCACGGGCCGGCGAGGCCTCACCCGTTCAGATGCTGCAGCTCCTCAGAAGTGAGGCAAGCCTGGAAGGATCCGTTGGCCTTCTTGGCATATAGAACCGGCCTAACACCGCGTGTCAGCAGCATCAGGGAGGATTGGCCACGTGATTGAAAAACGTTGTCCTCCACGTGCTGCCGCAGGTTTGCTTGTGCCAGGTATGCGTGCCGTCCAGACATGACAACAGCACTGAGCAGAGTCTGCACTTCCCCAATGATTTTCTCCTCGGGCCAGAAAACCTCGGAAGGCAGAAGTCGATTTATTTATGAGTATATATAAGGGGTGCAATTGTATATACACACATGGTATAGGAAGCTTCTTCTTAATCTTGAAATAAAGATATGTTTATACATATATCTGGGTACATATATATATATATATAGAGAGAGTTATTTATTCATACATACATACATACATTCATTCATTCATTCATTCATTCATTCATTCATTCATTCATTCATTCATTCATTTATTTCATTTCATTCATTCATTCATTCATTCATTCCTTCCTTCATTCATTCATTCATTCATTCATTCATTCATTCATTCATTCACACATACACATATATGTTATTATATATATATATATATGTATCTACGGAATGATGGAGCTAGATCCAGTTTTTCCAGGAAGCCACATCACCGTTGAAGATGCGACCAGCTGGCGTCACCATTGCCCTGGCCGCCTCGACACCAATAACATCGATGCCCAAGAGAGAGGCCACGACGTCTTTGGCCCACGGCACCTGACGTTTGGGCTCAAGCAAGAAGTGGGAGCGGCACACGGTGTCTGTTCCAAAAAGATCCAAGACCTCCGCCCCCAGTCTCAGGGCAACGTGCTGGCTGATCGTTGGGCCGCTGACGTGGTTGGCGATGGCTTTCACAGCTCGATGCTTCCTCTCTGGTGCGAAGCAGCTCATGATTGCCTGTTGCGACTGCGAGTGCAGATTATAAGATGAGTTCAACCCCTATATATTTAATATATAGGTGCACGTGCGAATAAAGATATAATATATATATATATATATATATATATCATATAATATATCATATAATATATATATATATATATATAATGAAGTTCGGGCGAGATGCGTCGAACTTCCGCACTTGAGCCGGCACGTGGTGCAGCCAGTGGAACTTGGGCTTCCGGCAGTCGGGGTAGAGCTCGGCAAAGAGCGGCCTGTGTGCCGACACGGCCTCTTCCAGAGCCACGGCCCTGCGTGCAGGGCTGGCTACCGAGGACGACAAGATGTCCAAAATGTCTCCCAGCAGCTTCATGCAGCGGCAGTGCTCCGGAAGAACACCGGCCGGGTCCAGCACAGTCTGGACCAGGGCCACAAGAATCCTCACCGCAACCAACATCTCGGAGCCAAAGCACCTGATGCAGGAGTTGGCCTCCATGCATACCCGGTCGCGGAAGAACTTCTTCGGCAGGGCGGTGTAACATGCCGGCAGCTGGAACGTCTGTGCGAAGTGGTCTAGATACTCGAGGCTGACATGCCAACTCTGCTTGAGCTCCTTCGCAAACTCGTTCACCTGGTACTGACCTACAGCAGAGCTCGTCACGAGCACATGCATCCAATCGTACATGGTTTGCGAGATGTGGTTCAGTTGCAAGCGAGGATGCCACAATGCCCCGTTCTCGTGGTACTGCAGACCACAAACCTGACCCAACTTTTTTTGCTCGGCCGGACGGCCTGCCAAAGCGGCCAGGTCTCGCACCATGGTTGCACCAGTTTCCGGCGTGTGCAGCTGGAAGCGGTCTTGCTCACAGCTGCTCACGTGCACCAAATACTCATGGTTGACAAGGCCCTCGGCCTCAATCCTGCCTACCACATTAGCACAACAAAAACACGGCTTCGTTCCATTCTCACCACTCAGGTTCCACAGCTGTTTTAAAGCTTTGGCGTCGGCAAGGAAAAAGCCGAACTTGGGTTTGAAGACAAAACTTCCGGAAGTCTTGCTCAGGGGGATGCCTGTTCCAAAGTTGAGCTTGTCCTGCTGCAGGTCGAAGAAGCATTCTACCATGAGGCTGAAAAGAAATGAGTAGCCGCCAGCAACATTTCCGATCATGCTCGTCGGGAAGCACCCGAAGAAGAACCAACCTGAGGGAGTTTGATGAAACACCCCACCCAGTGATCCGATAGAGGGTTTTTATAGACATCCCTGACCTTGGTCCCTGCTGACAAACCAACTCGGCAACTCTTTCAGCGTCCAGTAGAAGCACAGCTGCTCGCGGCCCTTGTCAGGCCTCAAGACATTACCTGGCTTAATCTCGTCCGCGTACATCACCACATTGTCAGTGGCAGCCACGAGGTCGCCGAACT